TGGAAACCTCAAATGGAATTTTATCTTTGATGAAACGAAGATGTCGAGAGACGTTATACTTCCTTAGAAATTTTGATATGTGGTCAGAATTAAAACACCTTACCTCTGCTCTTCTCTCTAATAATTTCCACATTAAAGATATTGAGCGTTCAATCAAAAAATACACTTCACCACAACCTTCCAAAAGCAATGAGGCCGAAAGCAATCCTATACTTGGCACTGTACTCCTTCCTTACATTCAAAATATCACTGACCACATATCAAAAGTTCTAAAGAAGTATAACGTCAAAAACAGATTTACCACTTGTCCAAAATCTCTCGACATCTTCGGTCCGTCAGAGATAAAATTCCATTTGAGATGCCAGAAGTTTACAGCATTCCATGCATATGCGGTAAAGAATACATTGGAGAAACCGGACAAAAAATATCAACTAGGCACAAAGAACACGAAAGAGGGTTACGGCTAAGACAAATAAACTTAGCAGCTGTTGCCGAAAACAATCACGAAACCGGACATAAAATTTTATTCGACAAAACTAAAATTCTTGCATGTAATCAATTCTTCTGCCACCGAAAAATACGGGAGTTTATAGAAACTTACAAACAATCTAACAATATTAACCGCAACTTAGGTCTCTACCTGTCACGGTGTTTATGCCCCTCATTTAGCTTCGCCCCCTCAAATAATATATAAGCAAGTACAGTTCGTCTCAGCAAAAACCGACGCAGGGGAAATCCAAAAGTTTTGTAAAAAGTATTACAGTAGCCTGTGGAAGATTCTTTAAAAACTTAATATTAGTATTCATTTTCAATTATTAAGTTGTAAAAAAAATGGTGTAGATTTCACTTTTTATGCAAGTGCAATATTTGTGGCAAACATATTGCATTAAAATTAATCAATCGGGCGACGTATTAAAGAAAACATCTACACAAAGAAATTAAGTTTAGCAAAGAGCTTTAAAAACTAACAAATCTACCAAAAACAAATATAATAAAATAAAAATATAAAACAGTTCGCAAGAAAGTCTTTTCCAAAATATGGTGAAAATATTAATCGCCTTATACCCGCTGTGCACCGTTATGTTAAAAAGGAGAAGCGTGTCCTAAATACGATATCTATTTATATGTACTTTAATACACAATCAATCGGGCAACGTTGCTCTTACGCTCAGAAATCTGCGCAATAAATGAAAAATATACACAAGGACGCTGGGATGCTGGAATATAAAAGTTTTCCCGTGTATATTGGACGCTAGCAACTCATCTCTATGAAAGGACGCCGACATATTAGTATCACAAAACTTCATAAAAATGATCTTCGTAAAATCTGGCCTAAGGAAACCCAACGCTATCTCGTTTACCAAAATTAAAAACATTCACTTGTTAAAGTAGGAATCTTGAAGAAAACGATACTGGACGCTCAGAGAGGGATCCATGAAAGGACGCTCGGAAGATAGCGGGATCTAAATATATATATATATATATATATATATATATATATATATATATATATATATATATATATATATATATATATATATATATATATATATATATATATATATATATATATATATATATATATATATATATATATATATATATATATATATATATATATATATATATATATATATATATATATATATATATATATATATATATATATATATATATATATATGATGACACTATATTCCACACTTCGAACACTCGGAGCGCGAGCATTGAAGATGCCAAGTGAGATTTTGGCGAAGCGTCTGCAGGATTCCAGTCGGATGCAGGATTTGCAGGATTCCAGTCGGATGCAGGATTCCAGTCGGAGTTCAACGAGCGAACGGATGATATCCCGGAATATAGTGTCATCACATTTTTCCATCCGTGAATCAATACAGTTATTTGTGACTGAAGATCGGATTTCTTATTTTGGTTTTCAACAAAAGCTTCAATTTTATTTAAACAATCATAGAGGGAATCGGTTGTGTATTCACTGGTTTTCAAATTTTTAACCAATTCATTTGAAGGTGGTTGCTGAGAATCATCTTCCAATTCCTCCTCCATCGTGTCACTTTGGCACTCATCTTCGATGGTTAACTGTACCAGTTCGGATCTGCAGGACTCGATAATATCTTCATCGGTACGAAACTCTGAAGTGACAATATTCTCATCCATATGTATAAAATCGTTGATGGTGCCATCTTCTGCTATACATCTAATGTTTGTCCAAGCTTTAAACTCGATTTCTATTTGAATTTCGTCTTCACTCTTTTCTTTCAGGCGTTCACCTAGGAAAATCAAAGGAATCTCATCTTCTTCTTCCCATTCAGAATACTGACCAAAACCGGCTTTTTTAAAACACTTGTAAATTGTTTTAGGCTTAACGTCGATATTCCATGCGGTAGTTACGTCGTCAACACAATCCATTAGTGTAATGTTATTGTTTTTGTTTTCTTCGAAATGTTCCATGAATGTTTATTTTTCAAAATTGTAACACTGTATTTACCGAAATCCCATACTTCACAGCTACATCTTTATTTTTTGAGCCACTTTCCACTTCTTTTATACCCTTGAATTTTTGATCAACAGATAGCTTTTAAAGCACCAAAAATGTCTTTAATATAATGTGTAAATTGAATAGGGACACTATTTTTCGCTCAGTATTAACTAGTAAGTCATACAAGTGAACTTAGCTAGCACAGAAACTGAACTGTTTGCATAGATACGTTAAAAAGACAGGTTAAGATCGGTCGTTATTAGGGGGTTCACCGAGAAAATTCGACTTATCGAAGTTGGCACCAAATGTTTCGTTCGAGTTATCAAGATATTCGAGTAATCAAGACAAACTAACACGCATTTCCTACTGACGCTATTGTTAACCAATTTGGTTCGACTTATCAAAAATTCGAGTTATTGAAGTTTTGTATATTTGAAAATGATATAATGGCTTGATAAGTTATTTGGGCTAAGCTGCTGTGAAATACTTATAAGTTATTTCATTACATGCAGGCGCATCGAACAAAGAAGTTTAGCTTTTAAAAATGTCCAGGAAGATACAAAAAAATGCCTCAGTAGTGCGCTACTCTCTATAATAAGATACTTATGAGATTTAGATTTGCTAATTTTCTTCAATTCAGGTACGAAATTTTTCTTGTCGATTTTAACAGACGCTGTTCTACTTGTATAAATTAATCATAACGGTATTTTAATGGACGGGTAATCCCAGTATCATAAATACAAAAACAATGAAGCATCTTAATAATTGATGCTAAAAAAGCGGAGCCTTTCTCTAAAACAATTTCCGTAGTCTTCGATGTTTCTTTATTATTCCACTTCATTAACCCTTCGGGGACGAAAAACCTGTTGTTGTCTAAAAGTTCGCAAGGGGGTTCCACAGGTGGAAAAAAGAGACAAACGACCCTACTTTGAACTTTGCTTTGTGAGGGGTTAAAGTGCTCCGTTGGAGTAAATTCAATTGGAATTGGCTTTCTTTTATCACGGAAATTATGTTTTGTGGAAAACCGAATCGTTTAGGTTTGTTCCAGTGATACAGGTTGGACTTGTAATGAAATATAATAAAAAACTTAACATGATTTTGATATTATAAGAACTATTTGGAAAATTGAAAAAGCGTAGATCCCGTCTCTCTAAAATATTTTGAGATGCGTTGTGTTTATGCTAGCTTAACTAGTATCTTGCTTGGTTTCATTGACACCTTCTGCATAAGATTTGAGTATTAGATAGTGGACCAGAAACAAGATGGTTTGTTCCGGTTTGCCTATCATTATGTTCACCAAAAAAAAATTTCGTCACATTTTCACAAAGTGGTAAAAAATTATTAAATCATTATAATAAAATAAGTATTATATATCAATTGTTCTTTTTCTGCAAGGAAATCTTTACGGAGGTTTATGAAATAAATTCTATTATTTACATAATAATTTCCGACTTTAAAACATATTCGTTAAGGTTGTAAACAAGCAACAAAATAAGTTTAGATTAGTTATTTCGGAAATTCCAAAAAAAAAATCAAAAGTGCTTGAAGTAAATTACAATTATAATTAGAACAGTATATTTCAATTTTATTAGTAAGGCCACAAGATTTTCTTTCCTTGAACTGAACTGCTTTACTTTACAAGTCGAAAGCTGATTGCTGTTTTATTTCTTAGGGTTTTTCCATATTCGGTAGGCCTTCTCCGTGTTAAGAATTACCATGAGTAGAGATTGTCGTTTTACTTGATGGTGAAAAAAAAATATTTACTAAGCTATTCTTCCATCAATCAGTGATTATTACTGAAATTTTGCCATATCTTGTCCATATCAAACTAGGTAAAAGAGATAAGGATATTCCCAGCTCTAGTCTTGCCTGAAAAATAATGGAAGTTAGTATTAGACATTTTTAACTACCTTAAAGTTTAGTTAGTATTTTACTTCGGTGACATTAGATAAGCAACTGGGATTATTCGACATGGCTGTTTCTATCATTTTTACACCCTTATGTTTTATACCAATTTTTCAAAACACCTTGCATACACCACCACCGAGTTATTGTAAAAGGATATTCAATATACACACATTCCCATTCCAAGTTTTAAAATTATTTAGTGTTTTCTCTCTACAAAGGCGCTGAAATGTATTGAAACCACATTGCACTTTAAACACTTTTATGGTCCTTCGAACCCAAATTCGACCGAATCTTTTGTTGTCGACTCCAAAGGCGAAAAAACTTTCGGAAATGAACCTCGCGATAACACGAAAATACATTTTGCCCCGGTTCCGCCAAAATTAAAATGCACCGTCTCAATCTCGCTAAACACAGGGTGGAGACAGACAGAGATCGATTTTACGGACTAAACTACAGGCCAGAGAAAATCACATGTTTACACGTATGATTATAGGCCGCATGTAGCAAATGTTAAAACTCCCACGCTTGTCATAACGATTGGCCATTTACGTATGCGTTGAAGAATATATATAATATTTCTGATAGAAAGTTTCAACCATTTCAGCTGAGATGTGTAGGGACTGTGACATATGAAATTTTTCTCCAATGTGTTTTTGTGGTCCATTTGCAGCGGCTTAAGAGTTCGATTTGTTAAGGTATGACTCCATTTTTGATTTACGTGCTTCCTTTTGTCTTAAGAAACTAACACAAACAATAAAAGTATGATTGAAGTATACGCCATGGATACGAATTGTATATTCCAAAACACCTCTTTTGTGTTGTTTACTCTAAAAGGAAACAAAATAACATTTTTGTACTTGTTTGGAAATTCATCGAAATGTTTCGAACGGCATTTTGTGTTTAATACACGTGACCTATAAATTGGCTTCTGTAAACAAAATTCTGTATTTGCAAAACTGGACCGAAACTAAACAGATGACGATTGATATTTGTTAGAAACGAAAAATTCCCCGAATTTGTTTTTTTTAAGTCTCCGAGAGTTATTTGATTATGCCAGATTTTAAGTTACTGCCAATTAGGCGAAATCTTCTTGTCCAAGTTAGACTTCCATGGTAATGTCAAAATTTTAAAGTAATTGTATTGACCGCCGTTGAAAATTTAACTTTCCAATATAATAGAAATTTGTCTCTAAGCGTACCCCGCTGATATCTAATTGAGTTTTAATAGAGGAACTTAGACATTAACATCTAAAGGAAACGGTTAATCGTGATCCACGCTTGAAAATGTCAAAGCTGCGTTCTTACCTTAGGTTACCTATGAAATTAGAATTTAACATAAACAACGCAATAAACATGAAATTAGAATTTAACATAAACAACTCAATAAACAGTGCGAAACCAATTTAAATAACTGTTTAATTAATATTAAACACGTCCGTTGACAACATCTTTAGTGTGTGAGCAAGGAAATATTAGGTTTGTTCTCAATTGTCTATGTATCAATTCACCAACTAGTCAGCACTTGGGCAAAACAAAAAAATTGGTCCCAATCGTGTACCAGTTAATATACACTAGTTGGAGCGTCCATAATGGCCGTGATATAGCTTGTGCATTGTGTACTATTGGAACGGGAAAATCTTGTAATAAAGTTTGCACGAATTTAACTTCTTGTGCATTGAAGGTTATTTTGAAAAACTTTGAAATGAATGAAAAAAAACTAAATGCATATAACTTCAAACAACAAGATGTGAATGAATTTATTTGAGAACGTGAAATTTGCGATCAGTTAATTAAATGTAAAAAATATAAATGTCCACATCAAAGTCAAAAATAAATGTGCTTTTGTTTCAATGATTTTTTTTTAGTATCAGAATTTATTTGGCTAACTACCTATTTAAAAATACAAAATAATTAGATTTAGTTAGCACATATATTATACAATCATAACAAACCTGCTTCTCAGATTTCTCATGTTGGAAATATTGTACGAAAAAAACTTGAAAATTAAAATAATTACTTCAAATTTTAAATTACAAAAATTGGTTGTTGGCCGATAGGAAAACCCGGCAAATGAGCAAAACTGTTTGTCACTATAGTCTCTTACTGATTCCGATTGATGCTATTACGGGCTCGTCGGGTCCCTTGGATATAATTTATTTGCTTGGACTGATGCAGCTCATATCTCCGTGACTCGTTAACTTTCCAGGATCTACCAAAAGCATGTCGCGCCGTAACGATTTTCCATCCATGCTGATATTCTGCAGGCGCAACATGACTTACGCAGGTATTTGGAGATTCAACATCAGCAAAATCCCCATGCTGCAAGGCATCTACACGATTTACTCCATATTCGTCTTTGTCTATTTTCCGATATTCTTAACTTCATTGACCCTTCAGTTCGTAATTATGATGATGTGTGATGAGGAGTTCAAAAATGCCCCGCAGAATATCTTTCGCACGATTACGTTAATGATAACTTTGTGGACGGTCGAAGTCAAAGCAAAATTAAGTCAAACTAGAATGATCACCAGGATTATTTCTTACATCGTCGACGAGGAGAAGAAAATCAGGGAGTGTCTCGACAACGATGTGTTATGGTGTTATAACAGACAAGCGATGTTCTGCAGAAAATCCAATTTTATACTTTTTTCCGTCACGATGACAGTGGCGGTCGCCATGATATTGGGCAACGTCATACAGAGACGGCAGATTGATATCCACAATGCGATACACAACGACAGTATGACAAAACACTTCACTTACGAATTATATTATGCCGGTCTTGATCAAATATTGTCTGAAAATTTATTGGAAATAATGAACGACGTGTCCGTTCTAATAGCTGCCGCACTGGTTTCTTCTACCCAGCTTATTTTTATCTCTTGTATAATTTTTTCCACTTCCTTGTTGAAGATCATGCAAGTTAAATTCAGGAAAATGAAAAGTTACGGCGACTATATCATCACTTTGACGGAACTGATAACAGAGCATCAGAATGTTATAAGGTAGGTTAACATTTTCCTATGGGAATCAAGTTTTTTTTGTAACATCGAAATGACTTATTGTTTTCGAAAATTTTTTGTCGTACCCACATCCTCACAATTGTTTTTATTTTGGATATGTTTTTACGAAGTTTTAGGTAAAACAATGTTGCTTTTGTAAATCGACTAAAGTCATTCGGATCTGTCCAATGCGACGGCGAAGTTTTCTTAGGTCTCCATCAGGTTAGATCAAGTTGTTGTTTGGCTTGTAGGTTAACTAGCATTACTATTTTACTGAAGTGTATCACCCTATTAATTTTGATGAGCTACTTCGACACTTTTTAGTGGGTCTTATAATACAGGCTGTGAATGTAAGGTTCCATGATGTTGTGTGATCACTAGTTCAACATCTTAGTTTGCCATTTTCTTGATGCATAGCGTTGCTATGGAAGTAACGAAATTTTATAAAATCCCATGTCTTTCTTAAAATTTATTATTTATTATTTAATGTATGCACCTAAAATATATACAAAATATAAAAAAACTAAGACAAATTGTTTTCTATTTACTGAATGGACAGTTTTTATATAAACTTCATTGGAACCGAATTATTTAATAAATTAAATAAAATAAAATTAACTTCATTATTTCTACAAAACAAAAATAAAAATCTTCCAAATTATGGAAATAAGTCACGTTTTAATACTTTTCTCCAAGGCTTCTTTCTAATGGTCAAGCGTCTTGCATCTGCTGCAAGTTTTTGTTACAAGTAAGATATTGCTGCGCCTTCTATATTTATTTTTGTGTGTACCAATAAAGCAAGCAAAGTTAAATAAATGTTTTTTTATTAGTTTTGTAGGAAAATTAAACGATGCAATGAAACACATCATACTTCTTGAGTACCTGCTTCATTCGTTGAACGTAGCTTCGGTTTCGTTGCAGTTTATAAAAGTAATGTAAAATAAACATCTCCCTAATTCATGACCAACTAATAACCACTCCAATTATTTTAGTCGGAACACAACATATCAATGGCATTTCCGGTATGCTATTTCGGACTTCTTGTGGTGCAAACGTTCTTGCTGGGCTGGAACGCCAACGAAGTTAAGGTTCAGGTAATATTTTGCATTTATTATGGTCTCGTATAAGATTCCCCCATTGAAACAGAGTTTGGCGATGGCTGACGCATTTTGGGAAAGTCAGTGGTACGAGCCAAACTACAAGGCCAAACAGCTAATGCTCGTTCTGTTGATGCGTATGCAGCGACCTTTGGTACTAACAATTGGACCATTCGATGCAATGACTATTCAATCATCTCTGACTGTAGGTATTATAATCTGAGTTTAGATGCGACCAATTTTTAGATGATTATTTTATTCTATGGTTTTAATATACTTAGTTGGTTTTCAGATAATGAAAGCGTCGTACTCGTATGTGACAGTGATGATTTGAAGTTGATGATTTGTTGTACTGAATAAAACATTTTTGAGAAATGAAAGATGGTCCTACCGGAATTCCCAATGGACCTTTCTTTCAGAAGAGATCTTTTCGAAAATGCAACATTTGAAGGCATCCTATTTACTAACTTTTGGGGTAGAATGCCAATCTCAGAATATGTATACGTAAGTCAGATCAAAAAAACTTGTACATATCATATATCATTATGCCATTTCATAATTATATTTATTGTTCTTTTAATTATTTTATTATTAATTGTTATTATATTTTTGAGTAAAAATTGAATAATTTACAATAGTGAAATTTACTTTAAAAAACGTTATTTAAATATTACTTGTGTTGCTGAAATTAATGTTTTAAAATAAATTAATGACTCTTTTAAATAAATTATTTTGTCCTTGGTTTTCAAAATAAATATAAACATTATATAAAATCCTTCAATAATCTAAAATTTAAAATAAAAAATAATAACATTCCGGTTCCATTATCCAGTATTATATGAAATAAGGTCCGATTGCTTTTTGACCACACCTTGTATAATTATTTTGATTCTGAATTCTGCGCAAATAGTTATGTAAGCAGCCGTAACTTAACATAAGAAAAGTGTAGGGTATACTGTATCTTATGTAGTTTATTGCAATATATTTTAAATTGAGCCGATAAAATATTATAATCCAGTAACACAGAAATAATAAATATTAATAATGTCAATTAAGAAAAATATTCTAGAAAGAATTGAACTCGTTTCGAAAATAAATTGATGGGTATAAAAATAGAATCAAATAACGTGAACGCGATACTTACATAAAATACAATTGCTACATGCGTCTCGGAAGTCGGAACTACTTTTTTGATTCAACGGCCATTTCCAGGCTCCGATATCTTTCAAAAATAATTATTCAAATTCTGCTCTCCATCTAATTGCTTTGCTGGCATGGCAATTTTGATAAGAATTTTTGTAAAATGTCAAAGAGGCAAAGAAACAAATAAAATATTGGCCTGTCACGTCCCTGATGAGGCTGTAAAAACCGTGCGACAATTGTCACGCTTATAAATTTACAACAACTTTATCGTCACTGAAAAAATAAGCCTCTGGAAATACAGTCTGGTAGATCATATATTACAATCAGAAAAATCAGAAACACTATGACACTACCTAGATTTTCAATTTGAGAAATTATGTTTTCAATTTTAAGTTCTTGCGTGTGCTGGTTGGTACTTTAAATATTGGCCATATTTTGTTAGCAAAAATAGAAACCATTACCTGTTTTTTTGGTTTTTAAGACATAATTATTAAAAATAATGAATAATTTTATGAATAATAATTATAGAAAATGCAATAATAGTGGTGCAATAGCTATTTTTAATTTTTCCCCAGAACTGTAAGGTTTTATTTATATATGTACTTTGATATGATAAATTTTAGAAAACAATCATTACGTGTCAAATAAATAGCGCCCACTTAGGCTATTAAATCAAGAAAATGGTTAAAACCCAGACTAGATGACCGCCCAAGTATTTCATGTATGCACCTAAAATATATAGAAAATATAAAAAAATGAGACAAATTCCTTTCTGTTTACTGAATGCCTACAACGCAATATATCGAATAATGGCGTCCCGGCATATTGATCTATTGAATCATCATAACGAATTTGAGAGGACTATTTTTTCCGAAATGTCCGATAAGTGAGAGAAACATGACTCTCTATTAATTTCATAATTTTTTGAAAATAACTGTTTATTTTAGTGGATTATAAAGAAAGAATTATGGGGAAACTACAATCAGACGTAATTTTGACTGGTTTTATTAAACAACTTATTTTGGGTGTTATTCTGAAATGAGGTTTTTGAAATCTTTACATTATTTGTGTCGCTTAATTTAAAGCAAATGAAAAATCCACATTCAACTATTTTTTCGTTCGCATTATTCAAAATTTCGTTATGAAAAAAAAACTACCCAAAATTACAGAGTAATTCTAAGAACTACATCAAATTCCGTTCCATTTCCAGGCTCGTTTGCAAAACGCTGCTTTAGGAAAAACTAGCTGAATAAATGATCGTAATTCCGAGAGCTCGCTCTTCCCGGCGATAATTTTTACCGACGCCAGCGGTTTCGGCCAGCGTAATGCGTTTACCGTTCTTATTTTACCTTTTGTTTGAAACATTAAAATTAACACGGATTTCCTGGTTACAAAAAAGAAGGCGCCAGGGATTGAAAGAGTTAAAATGTTGCGTCTTGAAACGAAACTGTTTCAGGTCGCACTGTTGCTAATTTATTATTGTTTCTGTACCAGAATAAGATGCCTATGAAATGATTTTAAGGAAAAAATATCCAATAGACCTCCCGACTTTTGAGCTAGAGTGTTTTTATTATAACTATGATAATTTCCTAGATATTAAATTTGGCAAAATTTGGCACATGCATATTTTCTATCTATAAGGTGTCCCGGAACGTTTTCCCCATTTACACAATACGAATATTGCGAGAAGTAGTGGGAGTAAAAGCTTTTGCGTTCATTGAAACTCAAAGCGGCTCGATTCCAATGAAGCGATTCACCGGTGAACAACGGGGGCACCTTCGGCGAGGTGAATTAGATTTTGGGTTAATAAATTTGAAAGAATCTATACGCAGCCTAAAGCTTGTCCGAGGACTGCGAGATATTTTGAAAATATTGAACGAGTTCGCATCACAGAACTCCCGGTGTTCGGAAAAATTGCAGCGGCCTTATATTTCGCCAAAATGGCTGTTCACAATATGCTGTAGTAGAAGATTATCCATTTCACATTGCTCATGAGACTTCAATACTAAACAATTTCGAAACTTTTGGCGGTATCTTATTCCTCAGAAGTTCCGCAAGAGAAAGTGAAGTGAAAGAGAAGAGTACGGGCTGCAATAGACGCCCCTTTTTTTTCCAAAATGCCGCACTTGCGCCTACTGATCTTCAATACAATGACAATTTTTGTGAGATTAGAACTCGCTAATTTAGCTGAGAATACTTGCTGTCAACGTCTGCGAAGATTAACATTTAAACGGAGGATATTAACGTAATTTAACTCCCATGGAGTTACGACAAGTTAGTTACGATTCCAAGAAATTTCAACCAGACGAGACAAGGAATCCGTAACGAAATTCGGAATATCCCTCCACCATGATCTGTCGGTGAGTAATTGCGCATTTCTGGTTCTGTGTTGATCAAGTAAAACAGTGCGAAGGAAGACATCTCTATCATTTATTTCACTTTTCTTAAAATAAAATTTGTTCCAAATTTTGCTACTACAACATCAGAGACTGGACACACACCCATGGTAACACATTAGGGAAGACTGCCATATTGGTCGCCAACATAGGAGAAGGAGGTGGTTGATGATGTTTTATATTTAAGGATGCGTTCCATAGATGATCCGAGAATCTGGAACCAAACCTTCTCACCTTAATTGAAAAATGCTTGTCTGGAACATATTTTTCTTATAACGATCAAATTTTTTAACAAACTTCGGGAACCGCTTTGAGTTCTCCACTATCACCAGTCATCGCGAATATATTTATGGAAGCCTTTGAGAAGAAAGCTCTCGACACCTTCCATCCAAAACCAAAATTATCGAAACGCTACGTCGATGATACTTTTGTTATTTGGCATCATGGTCAGGAATCTCTAGTAGATTTTCTTCGATATTTGAACTCTATACACCCTAACATACGTTTTACCATTGAAATAGAAACTAATAACAATCTCCCATTCTTAGATATTCCTATCAATAGAAAATCAGATCTAACATTGGGTCATTTTGTTTACAGGAAACCTACGCACACAAACCGATACCTTAATGCATTGTTACATCACCATCCGGCCCAAAAATCATCGGTTATCAACTGTCTTGTTTACAGAGCCGTAAAACTTCTGCTCTTCTCTCTAACATATTCGATCCGTTAAAGAGAAAATTTCATTTGAGGTGCCAGGAGTTTACAGCATTCCGAGCATATGCGGCAAAGAATACATTGGAGAGACCGGACGAAAAATATCAACTAGGCTCAAAGAACATGAAAGTGCCTTAAGACTAAAACAAATAAACTCATCAGGTGTTGCCGAAATCACGAAACCGGTCATAAAATTTTATTCGATAAAACTAAAATTATTGCATGTAATCAATTCTTCTACTAACGAAAAATCAGAGAGTCCATAGAAATCTATAAGCAACCTAACAATCTTAACCGTGACTCTGGTCTCTACCTGTCAACAATATGGGACCCCGCTTGGGGATCGCCCCGTGTGTGAGGCGGGGAGCTCTCGAAGCTTGGGCGAGAGACCGGGCCGCGGTGGGCTGGAGAGTTGCTCCGGGAATGAGGCAGGCGAGGCTTATGATGGATGGGCCCGCCCTCCCTCGGACCAGGGAGCTGCTTAGACTGACCAGGTAGTGTAGAGCACTAACAGGGGCCTACACAGGACATCGCCTAGGAGGCATCTTTGCTTGCTAGGCATTGGAGACGACCCGGAGTGCAGGTGGTGCATGGATGGGGAGGAGACCCCGTATCATCTGCTCACCGAGTGCCCTACTTTGACATGGGCAAGATTGGGAGTCTTCGGAACGGCCCTAATCGATCCGGACTCAGTACACGGTATTGGGCTAAAGGGGTTGCTGACCTTCTATAGGAGGGGCGGCATTCTGGACGCCCTCTAGAGCGGCCTGGGGCCACAACAGGCCCATCTGGTGGCTTAAGTGCTTGAACGCCCGCGAGGGCGCCTCCCTTTAATACCAATATCAATACAGTCATCCGAGTCGGTGTTTATGCCCCTCATTTAGCTCCGCCCTCCTCAAACAATATAAAAGCAGGTACAGAGTAAAGTGAGAGCCAGTTTCAGCCAAGCTCTGAAGAGGCCAACTGGACGATTGGCTAAAAGTTAGCTGGTTCGAGTCAACAAAAACCGACGCAGGAGGAATCCAGAAGTTTTATAAGAAGTACTTTAGCTGTTTTTGAACTGATTTTAGACAATAAACAATTTTATATATCAAGTATTAAAATTAAGCTCCATCTGTTTAAAAATATAAATATATCATGTTTCCAAAACCTTCAGCCAACTAAAACTACTGAAAAGTTAATACTATTTTGACTTGTTCTGCGTACTCTTTATCTTAACCCGTTTTTGAGTATTTTGTACGAACAATATGCACTTCATATATTGTGGTTGTTGTTTATGAATTTTATTGTGACAATTGTGGTCAATTCTGATAGTTAATTAAATATTTTTTCCCGTTAAAAAATAATTATAACGTATCGAATTTGAAGTTTCAGTTATTACTCAATGTATCGATATAACGAATTGCATTTGCCACCATATTAATTGAAAAAAGTTCTTTTCATTTCATAAAATAAAATAGTTTCCTTAAATTGTTAAACTTTTAATTATAGTTAATTTACGTTACGTTTAAGTCGTTACACCAGTGAATGAAACCAAACCAATCCAAATGAAACCATTTTGAAGCGAAAGAAATAAAATACAGGTAAAACATATTTACATGGCTGTATTCCACATCTACATCTGTCCAATAAATCTTCGTATGAACGATAATTGCTATTTCGATTTTATCTACAACAATCTAATTTCGGGGAATGGTGAAATTTCGTATCCGTAATGTATACAATTTTATTTATGTATATGGAAACAGGTATTGTTTAATAATTAATTGGGCGAACTTGTAATTGATGACTTTCTGGACATCAAAAGAACATTGGCTCAAAATATTACCATTCACTGAGCACTTGAGTAATAATAATTGGAGCAGATTTGAATTGAGATATGAGCGCTTCCTTATTTTCAAGATATAACGAATGCTGGATAGACGATGGTAGGTTAAACATAAACTTGAATTTTCCGGTCTACTCTATAGAACTTAAATATTTTTTTCTTATCATTTTTGTTTGATACGTTCCTAGACAACGGTGCCGAGATAGCTGGACGTATCTCCCACAAGAGACACTAGATTAAACAGCGCATTGCCCTAGTCAAAGAAGAAGAAGAAGAACAAGACCTTCCTATACCTATCTGCTGCAGCTTTAAAGCTGAATTTTTGCTTGCAGATGCGACTTATCTAGATTTGTTTATTTTATTGGATCGCCAGAGAACGGAGAACAAAAAAATAATAGTTTGAAATTAATGATCTTGACCAGACAGTAAAGGTTATTTTTTAATCGTCAACGTAGTTAAATTTCCTTATATTAGAGGTTTTTACACAACACATAATTTTGTGAAACAATGCTTTTATTTATGCATATGAGCACAAATATTTATTTAATAAAAAAAATACATTTAAATACTCATAAGAATTCAATGTGAGGTTTGCCCTTGTAAAGAACTCATGATCGCTTCCATGTTCGGAACTATATGGGACATCGCAATCCGTAAGTCATCCCCTGGATCTACTCGAGATAGATATTTTGTTTTAATGCCGACTAATTTTGAAAAGTCGGATTCACACGAGTAGGTCAATGCGAATTGGATCAAAATATTGATTGCCCTTTTTTTTAAATATTTGTTTTCAGCTGATAACCAAAATTTTTTGCAAGTCAGAGAACTAAATTGAATACGCAGAGTTTCCTCACTTGAAATATCAATTAACTGTTCTTTTTCATTTAAAAGGATATTGGAATTAATAATATCAAACGAAAATGGATCACATATCCAACCTAATTCTTTATCTGGAAATTTTTCGAACCTTTTCGTAATGTTTTCTACAAATTTTATCAAATGATGGGAAATTATGTTTTCAAATAACATGAAATCTATATTATTTTCATTAGTAAAATCTGAAAAGCACCGAAACATGTCATCGTTTTTTTTTAAATCTTCTTGCCAAAGTATCAGCTTATTCTTAAAAGCTTCGATTTTACTGCTCAGTGTTAAAATGTTTGTTCCCTCACCCTGCAAACTCAGATTCAAATCGTTAAGTTTTTCGAAAATGTCAACCATGCAACTGAGTTTTCCGAGCCAATCTTCATTAATGAATGAATGTGCCATTACATGTTTCTTTTGTACCAAAACATTGTAAAATTCGTTTCTCAAATCAAAAATAAGTCGAAATATTTTGCCGCGAGATAGCCATCTCACCTCAGTATGTAGTAATAACGTCTCATACTCAGAACCCATCTCATTATTGATTATTGAAAAGAGACTACTACTTAGGCTATTGCCTTTAATGTAATTAATTATAATAACAACATCCTGTAATACTTTGTACGATTCCTCATCGATGTTTTTTGCAACTAGAGCTTGTCTATGTATCTCTGAAGTCCTTTCTTACTGTAAATGCTGCAGCGCTATCTGTACAAACGGCGACGCTTTGGGCCCAGCCAAAATCGTTTTCCTCAAAATATCTGTTAATAAGTTCAAATATTTTCTCTCTAGTTGTGCCTCCTACTAACCTTTTGCAACATAAAAAATCTTCTGATATGTCTTCTTCAAAAACCTATCTCACATAAACAATTAATTGAGACACTTTAGTAATGTCTGTAGCTTCGTCAAGTTGTAGAGCAAACACAGGAGAGTTTTGTATTCGATTTAACAGAACTGATTCTATATTACGTGATATGGCTGAAATTCGCCCAGAAACGATATCTCTTGATATTGGAATTGCTTTTAAATTGTTACCATATTTTTCTCCATGCATAATTGATGTCACTTTAATTACTGAAGGAAGAAGAGGGATTCTCCAATGGTATGTGGTTTCAATTTTTTTACTATTAAATATGAAACTTTTAAGGATGCCCGTAGAGCCTTTTCCGAAATTATAGTTTGATTTTTCATACTTTCAGCTCTTTTTTTAAAAAAAAATCTGATTTATTTGCAAATTCTTTATATTTCGGTTCCAAATGTATTTTTAATTTAGCAGGTTTCAAACTTTCATTTGCCAATTTATCCGAGCAATTAACACACAACGAACGTTCTTTCCCATTAACAACGCAAAATGTAAATCCGTTTTTTTTCAAAGAAACTTTTTACAAAACTTCTGGATTCCTCCTGCGTCGGTTTTAAGTCGAAATTGCTGACGTTTCGAAAATCATCCTGTTGGCTTCTTCAGAGCTTGACTAAAACTGATATGTCAGTCAGTCAGTCAGTCAGTTTCAGTCAAGATCTGAAGAAGCCAACAGGATGATTGGCGAAACATCAGCAATTACGACTCAGCAAAAAACGACGCAGGAGGAATCCAGAAGTTTTTTAAAAAGTATGTAAATCCGTACTTAACTCTTCTTCATATTTTCTCAATTTTTTATCAGATAACATAGTTTGTCCAATATTTTTTGAAATAGCAACAGTGCCACTGGATTCATTTTTATTTGGGTTTTCATCCACACTCTTTCTAAGTTTAGTTTAGTTTATTATCATTGTCATTCTTGTCATTTTCTGGGCGTTGGGTACTTATTTTTAGCCACGTATGAAGGTATTAAAACTAAAACAAAATTATAAAAAAAAACAATATTTCTTTGTTTTAAACTTAAAATAGTAACTACACTGGTAGCGTTTCCAACAAAATATTAATTGAGGATAATTGATTTTTGAAAAAATTAAAAACGAAAAATGTGATACAAAAATACATGCAAAACATTTTAAAAAAGAAAAACAGAATAATAAGAAGAAAGAAGAAATAATAGAATCTGTACCTAATAGGCTAAAGTTGGTTAAAAATTACTGATTAAAAATCAATTTCATTTCACACTTTCATATAATGCACACCTTTTCCACATTTAATTCAGAATGCGTCAATTATATTTCAGAATTGTAAGCTTATTTTCAGAAAATATTAATTGTAATTCAGAATCGTCAATTAAGCTTCAGAAAGCGTCAATCGTAATTGTAATTGTAAATTACTTGGAGTGATGGACATCAATCGATATCACGCCGGGTTTACGAGCGCGCTATCTTTTTTATTGTAATAAAAAGTTTTTTAAATTTGGCGACCCTGAAAATTTATAGATGACAATAATTGCCCCAATTGTTGTTTAATGATTTGAAAGTTTCAAAACGTGCGTTTATGCTGTTCTATTTAGCACTATGATGTTCTATTTGATACCGAATTAAAAATATATTAAAATAGCGCAAAATAGTTGCTCTTATGAAATATAGATATCACATTACCGATTTCATGTAGCGAACTACAACAACTTATAATTTAAGCATAAAACTTTAACGTTTGTCAAATTACTTTAAACAACAATAGGGAAATTCTTGTTATGGTAATATTAAGAAATATTAAGATTCCAATGTTGCCACCGAAAATGTTTTTGTTGAATAGAGCAAAGTCTAAAATTCCTTAGTTGTAAATTCCTATGTTATAAATTGTTTATAAAATGTTTAATTCTTCAGAAGCACCAAATTCACACAAATTTTTCTCGCTGGTGGATATCTAGAATAAATATTTAAAGTTGGGTTTGGTTATGCTTGAAGCACTATAAACGACAACTTTGTTTACATTTTCTCCCAATGACGGTGTCGAAACGGGCTGCAAATAAAGGTACTTGTGAATAAGACATCTTTAAAGTTGCAGCAACTAAAAATATGCCACTTTGTCGGAATTAATAGAACGACATTTTCATGACTTGAAAGCAGATATTGCGCGGAAACCACTGCTTCACATTCATGGTAAGTCGTGTTTGATGGCAGGTTAGACATTGCCGCTTCTTTTAAAAATTAGAAGCATTTTTGAAAGGCGACTAATATTATTTACAAATCTTTTGGATACCTCCTGGTGACGTTTCGCGATGAAGATTTGTAAATTTACATTTAAAATGGAAAATCCTGTTTATTATTGCATTGCATTATTGTTGTATAATGTTTTTCCTTAGCTCATTAACGCACATATAGGTTTTTGATGAACAGATATTTACCGCGCACTGTTTATTTGTATGTCAGCTACCGATTTCAAGGTATGTTATCAATTCCTTTCTTCTGAATCCAAATAGGTACCGCAAAACACTTCAAAGGCTGATACAATAAAAGATCAACTTTATTTGATATGGACAAACACAAATATATTCAACGATCTCAGATGAAGCGCTTACCCATTGACAACTAGTTTTCGAAAACGATTTTTATTTACAGTTTGGTATATAATCCGTATAGCTGTTTCGTGGAGCAAAATGTATTCGAAACGGTTGAAAATTTTGCTCCTAACCTAGGTTATTAACAACTATTATTAAAATGTTTTGTATAAAAGTTTTGGACAATTTGAATGGATCAAGGTCGTATATTGTTGCTTAGTTTGATGGTTAGTAGTTTTGTTTGGAACCATTTTGGTTAGTTGTGTTACTTTTAACTGAACTATCAAAATAAGTATAAATTACGGAGTCCCATTTAAAACAATGTAATTTATCATTAATAATCTAACCTTATACAATACAACATTGGGGTCGTATTATTAAGTGATACAAATACAGGTTGTCTCAAAATTCAATATAAAACATTTTTATCAACCAAAACATTTCATAATTTCTTTGGTAGGAGCAAATCAAAATTACTTTTTTCGTTCAAAAATAAACGAAAAACCTTATTCCTCGCACTAATACATTTAATTACAAAACGGGTTACTTTTGAAGAATTACGTTAAATAAAGGATCTTATGACCTCAAATAAGCATGGCCAAGCTTTATGAAAGTCATTTTTTAAAAATTTTAAGTAATTAATAAAAAATCTATTTCATCGGAAAGTCCATTAACATGCAAGTTTTTAACTTTTATCTTGGATTTTACCTTTTCGATAAGTCAAATTTTGAAAATCTATCTATCTAAAAATCCAAGAGAGTTACAATATTTCTGTTTGTGACACCTGTAAAACCATCAAACGTACAAAGACACCCTGTATATTAACGCCCTGAAAATAAATAAAAAGCCCGTCCAACACGCGAAACGGCTATACGAAACGATCACAACGAAAACGGTCCTTATTTACAAGTTTAATATCACATTTTTTTTAGTCAGCAGTTCCTAAACTCCCGCTCCGTCACTCTGAACTTCACGTAATCCATAAAACTTCCGCCGCGCACATCACGAAATAGGCCCAACAGGAATAGAGCGCTGACGCTCCGTCGGCAGTGTCTTTCGACGCCTCGAGATTCCCCCGGGTCACCTCCTCCTGGCATCTACCGATGGAATCTATATCGATGTTGCTCATGGGCATTCCGTTTACTTCTAACGGCGATATACAGTAATTTTTCGATATAAACTCCAACATGCTGCCATTCGCTAACGGCCCGTCCAGGAGGGAATGGATATGGCAGTCGCACGGAAAATGGTTCGATATCACAGTTAGTTTCTCGACTTCAACCAGAAGAGTTTCCGGTCTCGGTACCTCTAATATATGGTTACCCTGGAATTTTACGTGGCCGATGTGCTGCTCGACAGTCCAATTCAGCCACTGGACCGAGTCGATTTTGTTATTTAAAAAGTTTAACGTACGGACGTAAGTCATTTCGTCGAAGGCGTCGCCGTCGATGTTGCCGAGGTCCGATTCTTGAATCGATAACACGTTGATGTTGGTTAGGCCTCGGAAAATACCCCTCTTGAGGCCGGGCAGGTCCATGAACGCCAGCTTGATGTAACCTACCGTGTCTAATCCGTTAAAGCAGTCGGGCTCGAGCACTCTTATCCCTGACGGGAAGCTTATTCGCTCGACGTTTGTTAAACCGCTGAACGCGTTGCTATCCAGTTTCGTAATCGGATTGTTAGTCAGCACCAAAGATCTGAGGTTCGTCGTGCCGGCGAACGCGTAACCCTCGACCCTCCTGATCTTGTTGTGGCTCAGATAGATCGACGTTATGTTCTGCAATCCGGCGAACGCGAACTGAGCGACGGTTTCGAGTGGAGTCTGCTGAATTGACAGATCGCGGAGACGTGGCAGGCCCCTAAAAGAATAATTCCGTAAACAATATTGAAACTTCGTAGTCTAGATGAGGCGAAACGCATAATCTAGTACGATATTTTTACTTGTCCACAAATAATTGATGTGGATTTGGAGAAATGTAAAGTAATTTATACTCAAACTACAGTATCTACAGTCTACGGTGTAGATGAAACTTTCGCGAGAGAATATTCACAAATACTGGGACGACCTTTGCACTAAGCATGGAAATAAAATATATAAAAAACCAAAAACTACGTATTCAAAGGAAGACTTGGATAATTTTGGGTACCACTATCGCTAAATTACATTTTCATTATGTATTCAAACCAATATTTCAACTAAAAAACCAACTTATTTCCCTTTAGTCTTGGGCGTACAAAACTATTATAATCAACTATTCTGACAGATATGTATAATAGAGTAATAAAATGGGAAATACCGCCCGGTTCCGCTTAATATGGGTATCGCCATAGGCGCAGGGAAATTTCTGTGCGTTAAAATTATTTTCGAATGTCAAAGGGTATTAAGACGACTTAAAGAAAAAGGAAGAGACCAATCGTTAATTTTTCTAACCCTTCAAAAATGCCATACGGGAAATTGCACTAGGACATGAAATCGGATGTTTTTCAAGACTATGTCGGTCAAAGGCTAACTTAGTAAAAGTAGAGAAGACTCGAACTTCATCTTGGAAAAAAACATAACTTGATATTGCAAACAATATCAAACATAGAGATATCAACCGGGTGCCGTTTCATGTTGATTTCCATGAGATTCCAGTTAAAATCAGCTTTTTCGTCACTTATTGCACAGAAATGGATGCGTACAGGGACTATTTTTAAACAAACATCGTTTTATTAAATGAAAATGAAATACCTTAAGCTACTGTTTGCTCAAGGCATTGAGTGTTTTAAAAAATAATATTATTTCGATTGTCACTCAATTAGATACAGGGTGATCAAATTAAGTTGCAATCAAATAATGAAGTTGAAAAGCTTTTTAAACGGAATACCTAATATTTTGATACATTTTTAAATAGCCCTTTAAAAGACGAATCCAACGATATATCTAAATATCTCTATATCGATCTCTAATGCACCGAAAATAATATTTTTTCGCAAACAATATTCAAAATTGAAATATTTTTTATCGATTACGAGGTGTTGCAAAATGTTACTACTCTGAATTTTTTAAAATCAAACATCCTGTAGATTTTTGCATTTTCGCATAGCCAATTAAAAGAAGAATCCAATGATATACATCAACATTGGTCTGCCTTACACCGCTTTGAATTTATTGACAATTTTTATCAATTCCGAGGCAATATCATCGCAATAACCTCAATTCTGAAAGCGTCCCTAATATTTTTTTATGAAATCGATCAAAATTTATTTAAAATTGGTCGCATTTAATTGATTAGCTGCATCTAAAATTTGTTGTTGTAATACAAAAACTTTTCTATTTTAAAGTACCGCCACAAAAAGGAGTAAAGTTTATTTAAATCCGGGCTTAATATTATTTTTTAATAAATCTAAAATAAATAAAATATTGGCCCTATCTCTTTAAATACCGCACTACACTTTGTTATATGGCCACTTATTTTAAGTATGTTAATAAAGAATAGTAAGTAATACGAGACATATGCTTAATGCTTAATTATATAAATTGGAGCAGTCGGTATGTTCCTTTTGCCCGCGTTTTTGGAAAACTTTCCGTTGCAAGTAGTGTACCGAATTGCCATCACTAATCTATCGTGATTTGTGCGCTGGATTACCCTTTTCGATTGTCAGTACATTGGATCGACGGTACGACATGCTTCTGTTTCAACAGTCAAGAAAAGGACTCCAGATCTACTACGCAGAGCACTTGGGACTCCTGGCACCAGCGGGACTAATTGGTCCAACCCAACTTCCACTACAACCAATACCTCACTTGGAAAGTGAATCTCTTCGACGAAAGTGTTGGTTGATACAGGAACGAAACTAGGAACTTATTGTAAATTTTTACCAAATTGTTCCTTAAAGTTGTGACTGCTGTTAGTTAAGAAGTGAAAATTTTAAATTTGTTGGCGAAAATTTGATGAAGAAATTTAGAAATAGCTTATCGGATATTACTTATCCTCGAAGAGATAATTCCACAAATAATCAACCTCGAGGTATAGACGAACTTTAATATTTCTCTATTATATTGTAGGGACGAAAATAATTCTGCTTTTATAAATACGAGTCTAGAAACTAAAGCTATTAGTGCAATGGCCGACGCTTTGAGATCAACCGCTAGTTTGCTAAAAACCTTTCCCGTTTGGATTCTTGTATAAAACAAATCGATATTTTTCGCACAAGATATTTTAACAACGAGGTATCGGAACAAGAATGTGTTATTTTGGCAATTAAATGAAAAATACTAGGAACAGCCGAATATTTTTTTATTAACCAGACCTTACAGCTTGGGTCGAGATAAGGTTAGCTTTAACACAAAAATTCAGCGATCCAATGACTCATGCAAATCATCAGCAACAATTAATATTTATATCCAAGAAAAACGAATCTACTCAAGATTATATCCAAAAACTCAAAGTCTTAGTCACCAAAATTAATACAAAAATATGTTCTGAAATTCAAAATGCCGAAGCGAGAGCAATATTAATTTCTCAAAACGAATTAACAGCAACACCAAATCTTTTGGCGAATATTTCCAATGAGTTGAGAACGTTACTTATAGTTCAAAATCCCCAAAATCTAAACTATGAAATCCTAACAAGTCAAAGTCAAAAATAATTATCTACAAAATAATAACCTAATGCGGCACAATATACAGAAACCAATCAATCATAGTTTGCCAAACACCCAAAGAGTATTCAACAACCCACCGATTTAACTCTATAGACAATCGAATTTGTCTTTTAAACTTTTAAACCCCCTAATCAAACGTCCAATGAAAATCAATTCTTCCAACCACAAAATCAACTTTTCAAACCTCAATTCTTTAAGCCACAAAGCCAATTTTTCAGGCAACGCTTTCAGCAACCCCACACCTCAAATCAAAACAACCCCCCGAACTCAAAAAATCAATACCCCCAACCAATGTCAGGTGTAAGTATACAACCTAAAAAGCCATTTTCTCAAATAAGACCACAATATAATCATTTCCAACCCACAGGTAAACAAAACTTTACATTCCAAGAACTAACGCATGTGGAAAACAGCGAACCCCGAAATTAATGAACCTTAAGCTGACTTAACTGAACTTAACGAATACGATTATTACTGTAATTATGACTTCAACTACGAGCATGTCGAACAGTTCGAAGAGGAAAATAGCATCATTGATCAATTAGAAAATTTTCAGTCAGTAGCCTCGGACGAAGCCAACCCTGTTTAACCCTAAATAGTTTTCAAATAAATCAGTTACCCTACATCGAAATTCCTAACTATCAAATCCGTTTACTTATCGATACAGGTTCTCATGCATATTTTCTTAGACCCTCTTTAATTAGACCTTACGGTGCAGGTTCAGCCACACATAAAGCAAATATGTAATTATTTACATGCATTGGTATCACCGATCCAACTGAATTTATTCTATGCTCATTTCATGAATATTTTGATGGTATTTTAGGAATTAAAGATTTTTGTAAACTAAATCTAAATATTGATTTAAAGAATGCAAGGTTAAAAAACCACTATATACAAATTCCCTTTCAATGTAGACAAAATTTCGACGACTACGTAGTAGAAATTTCCCCAAAAACTATATAAAAAGCAACACTTAGGACTAATCTACCTAATAATACGACATGGATAATGCCCTACTATCGTGACGATGAAGTTGAAATACAACCAACCCTTGTTACGATTACAAAAAATTAATATACTATTGATATATCTAATCATTCAGAAAAATCAATTGCCCTCGAAGGTAGCGTTAATAACAACCTACCTATAGAACCATTCGAACTTAACAACTTTGAAATTAAATTCTTTAACCGATCTTCGACCTTGTATATTTGTCTCAAATTCAAGTTTATTTTCAGAATTCCAATAATGCATATTTTTCGATTATGTAATATTAGTAATATTGCTGGTGAACCGGCCTTCCTGTATATAACGCCTAATTTTCATTTGACCCAACATTTTAGTCTTGGTGGCGAATGGAGAATAATACGCAAAACCCATCAATTGACCCTAACTCGGGTGGTGCTACCTGCACTTTCGTTGGGCACCTCGGTAGTGCCTTTGCATACCCAATAAGGTTTTATAACTCCACGCCCCCCTTATGAATAGACCTTAAGAATTTTCTTATCAAATTTAAATCTTAATTGTTTGTGTGGGCCAGAATGTTTAGAGCTCATTTGTACGTATTAGTATTCCCATCATAATATTCGGTATCTACACAGTTGAAAACAAATACACTTGACAGATACTCATATCACGAAACCGTTGACAATTTCGGGTGACGTATCCAACTAACGTAACATACTTATTAAAAAGATGAAAACGGTCCGTAAAAATTAACTGTCAAAATAGGTTTCCATCAAGTATGCAAAATTTGCATTTGTGTAGTGTGAGGAATTTTTTGCTGCTGTTTTAGAAGATAAATAGCAATTATTATACTGAGAGTTAAGGATCTCTTTGGTTGTAAGTTGTAAGTAAAATCACATTGCAACCAGTATTTCACAAAATATGGATAATTTTTATCGACCCTGTTATTAGAATAAATATGTCGCGTAATTAATATACATTGTTCTAGTTCAGAAAAAGATATTATTTTCCGATTAGCTTTAATTCCTGAAAAAAATCCATCCCGTTGTGCGTACGTCTAATAAATTATAGTGAAAAATTTGTATTAATACGAAACTGACAATTTCTACCTTTGGAAATGCTTATATTCGATGTTCTGAAAACTTTTCAAAATGAAATTCCCAAGTTATTTGTACTTATCATTTGTTTGCTTACTGTCTATGTTGCATGTTCTTTACTTCTCTAGCAGGATGTTGTAAAATAATCCCAAAGCCTTAATAGATTGCGCCTGCTACGGCTTAGCTTTTTAGCTCTTAAGATCATGTTAAAACATGTTTCCTCTTTCTTAGAGCTGATGAATGAAAGTAAAGAACCAAGATGCGCGAGGTTTCAATCCTCACAAAAATAAAAGCTTTTATCTATTGACGGCTAAGACTTCCAACTCTTAAAGAACATCTTCAGTCAAGAGTTCAGTATAGATCAGTAGCGGCGCATAAAACACATGAGTTTCCATTCCTAAACAAAATCTTCAAAATTTCGTCCATTCTTTTTTATCACAAGCTATACCTTTTGACCATTTCGAGATTGTCTTATTACAAGGCACCATTCTAACTACGGCCAGCAACGGGAAAGTACAAGGGAGATACCTGTTTAAGATTCCACTTATTTAGCCATTCCGTTACGTGAAACTTAGACTAACAATCTCCTTTCAATAAATTCTAGTTTCCCTATCTTGTACGTTCTGCATGAAGGATCAACCGTCCGGCGGGTTACGATTATTAGTTAGGTAATAGTGGCTTTAATTGTCTATGTTAACAACAGCGTTAACAGTGTCAACTCTGCGGGTTGGTTTGTATTAAGCCAAGGCATCAGATCGATTATTTGCTATTGTTTTGACACTATAAATTGCGATTAAGTTTTGATTGCATATTACAGTAAATGGTCCTTACAAAAAAGTTCTCAAAATTTTCGTTTATCAGTTTTAACTAATTCTCGTTAATTTGTTGTTGCTTGATCATCCAGCAGATTCTCACGGGTCTAAAAGTTCATATTTCATATGAATATTTATTCATAAAATATTGAAAACATTTATTATTGCAACATTTATAGGCATCATCCATTTATCCAGGGTGTTTCCTGATCGAATGTCAATAATTAAGGGGGTGATTTTTGGGTCTATTTAAAAAAAACTTCATATGAACATACGTCCTAAACGTCCTAACTTTTGATATACAGGGGGATGTAAAACAAAATATATTTACCACTTTAGATGTGTTAATGAAAATTGGCACACATGTACTGTGTATCAAGAGGCATTATTTAGTCAACCGTTTTTTTTTTTAATTCATCAGTGGTGGGCGTACGGAATTTCACATTTCATAAAATTAGATATCTTGTCTTAGATAGATATTATATTTTTCACAAAAAAGGTTCTCGATTTAACCGGTGCAGTGGCGACTTAATTAACCAAAATATTATATGTTCATCGACAGCCAGTGGCACGCCACTAATTTCTTTAAAAAAAAATTTTGCACATAAAAATAAAAACTAATTTCTCTGCCTGCTGAGAAGAGGTTTTTATTTCTTTAAGCGAAAACCGTATATCGCATTCATTCATTCACATTCATTTAGAAAATACTCTGTATACTGTATTTAAAACTAAACCAGCATTAATATGACGCCCTTAATTTGTGATCCAACAGAGGTAAAACCTTTTGAAACAATTAGTTACAATAATAAATATTACAAAAATCGAATCAAACGGATTTAGAGCATGATCTTAATTTTCTTCGTTCAAAATCAACAAAATCTCAGTCAATCAGATTAGAGCAAGATGATATCCAAATTAATATATAAAGATATGACTCGTTTTGAGTTCGAAGAATCTATTAAACTTTTAATTCAGACAATATTCTTCTAATAGCATTTCTTTGCCGGATTTACAACATTATATGTCGATTTTGATTTAGCCGTATAAGATACTTGAAACGAGTTTGGATAGCTCGCTGATGGCATCTTAATCGATACATCTCATCCCAAAGCTCTCTTGTGCTCAAAGACCAGAACCTACTGGTCCTAGTAATTATAAACCATTTGACATCGATAAAACGATCCCCCCCACACCAGTTGAAACACAATCGCTTTGTGACCCTGACGTCGGCCATATTTGAAACGGTCGATACCCGCCAAAGCCCTAATCCCCCAGGATAACCTACCTGAAAGCGAAGGGCTTAATAATTGATATGTTGTTCCCGTCCAACGAAAGCTTCCGCAAGTACCTGAGCCCTGCGAACGAGTCGCTTTTAATAATTGGGAAATGATTTCTCGTTAACGACAAATGCTCCACGGTGGATGGAAGCAGCTTCAGCGGGATGTCGCGCAATCCGCCTGAGTTACACAAAACCTGAAACAAAATTACACGTTATTGAATTTTATAATTGTAGTCACGCAATTATTTGCATGAGAAATTTCGGATATCTCATTATTATTATTCAGTCTGGAAAACAATATGCTCCGTTTGATTTTATTTTAACGTTTTGATTCTAGACTGTCGACACCGCTTAACAGTTGGTTCGATTCTTTTACACATCGTGAGGTCTGAAAATATTTTTATCTTTCAAAATGTAAACTTTTCTCGTCCTTGTTTTGTCCTAGTCATAGTGAGAATGACCGAGAATTTCGCATCAACTTCGTGAATTTTGCCAGCCACCAGACACAAAATAGACAGTGATTTTGTAACAATTTGCATAAAATAGAAAAAAAATTATTTTCTTTCGGGTAAAGTTGGGATCGAGGATGGCGTGGTTGGCAAGGCGTTGGACCTGTCAGCTCGACTTCGGAGGTTTTGCGTTAGATTGCCATCAGGAGCCTTGGGTATTGGGTTTGTGAAAAACATCTTCCAATCCGCCTGTTCACCGCGGAAGATTTTGGGTGTATACCTCCATTAGGGAACAGATCCGCGGCCAGTAGTGGAACCCAACAAGGCTTAGAAAAAAAAGTCCGAAAATATTTACAAAAAGGAATTTATTTAACAACTTGAAAATACTCAACAATTGTTGTTAAAAACAATTTTGAAGAAATTATTATTTTAAAAATATTTAGCACTCGCAATTGGTACTCGTAAAGTACAAAATGCAAAACAATATTATATTAGATAATAATACAAGAGAATTGAACTATACTGAAGCAATTTCTGCTTGTAATATATATTGGTTATTGGATGTACGGTTACTGATTATGCAAATGCTTATAACAAAATAAGCTATTTATTTTATTATCTAAAAAGTCTGTCCAAAACGGGATTGGTTGTAGATCTACAGTTGCAATTCATTCAAAGACGGGCAGAAAGAATGTGTAAACCTACTAAAATCAAACAGATTCGAGGAGAAAACGAAAAACCAGATGCAATAAAAAATCCAATACCAATTTCCTAAAATAATATTAATAATACATCCATTAATCGCAAATGTATTGCCCTTAGATTTCATCAATCAGTTTTTTTATGTTGGGAAAATATTACATATTTATTTATATATAAGGTGTGCCAAAAAGCATAGTACATCAAATTTATATATTTTTTAAAATTGTATATTATTTCATAAAAAGAAAGGACATTTTACGCTGATTATCATCATCATAATGTCACGTCATTCTCCTTCTCTCTTCATTTTAGGCAAACTGCCTGTTTTTCTTCGTGCCCTCTATCTATTGGGGTCGTAAATTGTGACTCCATATTTTTCACAACGCTACGTCTTTTGTTTAATTATGACAGTTACGGCATATCTTGAATATTCTTATTGTTCAAAAATGGATACACGAATTACGATTTCAGTTGACAAAAAATTGAAATATTACCGTTGCACATCTAAAACACAAAATTACGAGTATATAAACACTAATTAATTGATGCCAATCATAAATAGTATTTTAATGAGTTCTTTAATTTAATCTATATTGCCATGCTTCCTAAAATAAATATTGTTTTTTAAATACCCCCACAAATAAGTATCTGGGAGATTAAGATCAGGACTATTCTACATTTCAACTTAAAATTCTTAAATATATTTGCCGAGTCATCGTCGAGTTGTAAAAAAATAAGTTCTTCAAAATTTTTCAACAACATTTTAATTTAATGTTTTGCCAAAAATATATTTAAATATAATTTAAATATATATAAATATAATTAATCTATTCGGATAGACAAATGATATGTATATCCATATATTCAAGTCTGTTTCTATTTGCACATTTATCATTTTCTATACAGGGTTTGCCTAAACTAGTGGGCCAAATTACAACAGCATATTCTACGTCCACAATAGGTCCTAGTTTGGACCTGAAAATAGGTTTAGAAATTGTTGCGAAGATTGGGCGTACTAAATATGATTCTAAAAATATAAATGTCAAATTGTGGTTAGGAGCGCAACTTTTCACTTTTAGACTTTGTTACGTGAAAAAGGTACTATTTCTGTGGCATAAATAAAATTACGTACAATTGACTGAGCCGCCTCGACCTATCCACTTGTTTGCAAAATTTTTACTATTACCATTTATTGGCAAAATAAACCTATCAACAAATTGCCTATGATACCTGTCCAAACATCTGTTGTCAAATTATCATGTAGAAACACATCCATCACATATTTCGAGCCCACCCCGAGGCAGAAAAGCGAAAACTACGTGGATTAAGGCATATAGCAACGGGGGCAATAAAAATCGAAGAATCTATCGGATCTACAATTGGTCTTTGTCCAACAAAACTTGGGAACTGCAGCCGCTATATCGGCGAGAAAGTTGTCTCAACTAAGAATAAAAATATTTTGTTGTGCAAACGTGCAAGGGTGTAAATTATGCGAAAAACCAAGAAGCAGAACGCTAACTCTGATTCAAATGTTGCTGACAGTTCTAAATTGTGACAATTTAAATATGGAAAATTATTTAGGGAAAGTCAGTGAAGAAGTCTTGGAGCTTTAGGAAGCAATAGGAACTTTAACTATTAAAGTTAGGGAACAAGATTTAAATTTAATAAATCTAACTAGATATAGCTGGCGGAAAGCAACTTGCATTTTAACCCTACGAATTGCGATGTTGTCAAAACATTTTTGTAGCGATACACAAGGAGCACTGTGTTATCCTACACCCGGGGTGAGACACAATTAAACCCAGTCGCAGCATACTGTTCGTATATTAATTATTTGTAAACCAAAAACTATACAAATATAACAAGACAATTATAATACACAATGCGTTCGTACTAAATTCTGCGTTGCGTAATCTTTCACATTGATGAGCTGCCACTGTCCGTCGTTTTTTCTTAGCTTCATTGCAATCTTCTCAACAGACTCTTCCCTTCCGGAGGCTTGGAATGCAGTTGATATCTGCTGTAGCCGATGATAAAAACGACTCGTCTCGTTGAGGGAGGTCTCTGACATCTGTTGGACTGGTTGGTCACCTTGTATTTAAAACATTGTAGTCTTAATACCCATCGCTCTATACTGGCAGGTGGTCTAGACGATGGTCTAAAAGCAGTCTCCAGTCTCAATGACGAACTCAATATCTAAGCCCATAAGATAGCAGTAAAACCTCTCCACGCCCCATACCAACGGAATACCTACTTTCTCAGTTTCGTTGTTCCGTACTAATGAATCATTTGCTTGCAAACGAGACGAGTCTCGGACGTTCCTGGTCAAACTGGATAAGAACGGCACCAAGTGTTACAGGAATTGCACCAGCGATCAACCGTGTTTTTCTAGAAGGGTCGAAGTGGCTCAGTATTGGAGACTTGGAATGACCATCAGCCAGTCGAAGTTCCTCTGATGTTCCGGCGTCCAATGAAATTTGACTTTTCGTTTTGTTGGCCGCCGCAAAAGTTTAGTGAGGGAAGCCAGGAAACTACGCAAATCTTCTTTGGGTCACGGTGGTCGAAATTGGACTTTTTCCCTATTTGGCTCAATTCCTTTTTCCGATAGATGATGGCCTAGGAAAGGCTCCATGCCTACATGTTAACTTTTGATGAATAAATAACAATGATAATATGGATAAGCAATTTCCTGAAAATTTGAAAATGCTAAAGATGGGAATGCTAAACAGTGTATTTTTAAAATCTACTTTACTCGGAAACGGTCCATCCAATCAAATATACCTCGCAACAGAAAACAACTATTCCTATTTTGTAAGAAAAAGCTCAAAAACTCAACCCATAAAAAGTAATGGGAGTTTTTGTTACGTATACCTCTCAAAATTTGACAATTTATAGTTTTTAAATCAGATTCAGCATGTCAAAATCACTAAAATGCTTAAAACTTCAAAACATTCCATCAATTTTACGGTCTATTAGTTTTATAAACGAAACTAGGGCTTATTTTAAACGTACAATATGCTGTTATATTTGGGTCGAATAATTTCGTCAAACGAAACCATTCCTTTATTGAATTTTGCACAATAATAATATTCAAGATATGCCAAGATGTAACCACAGTACAAGAGCCTTTATTTTTATGAAATAATATATACAGTTTAAAAAATATACATTAAACCCTACGACTTTTGTATTAATTATTTTTTCGTAAAATGTAAATTAAAAATGGTAGAGGAGGTAACTTTTATAACTGGTCGCCCTTGTTCATTTGTTTTGTTTTATTTTCTAATTTTCTTTTGTCAAAAGTTTTCAATTATTTATTGTTTATCTTATATTATTGTTAACTACTACTATAAATATTTATTGTAAACCACATTCCATTAAGCGATTGCATTTTTTATTGTGCGTTGACGAACAAAATCCCGGGAAATTTTGTATATTTGGCACATTGGCGAGGATTTTTACTTAACTCTTTTATTTGCTCAATTTGTATGAAGTATCCAATAGACTATTATAATTATTACTATTACCCTGTTGGCAGCAGAAGCAAATTTTTACTGATATTTTGTTTATACAGAATATTTACAAAGTAAGTTCTTTTTACTTATATAATAATTCCGCACTATAAAAGATTACGGTATTCTTTATTCGACAAATTTCGAAAAGTATAAATCAGTTGCATAAATACATAATTCCAAATAAGTCATTTTTCTGAAAGACTCGTTGATTAAATTTACTCATTTTTTTCGTAAAACTAACCAAAATTTTCTTTATGGATATCTGTGTACGAATCATTGTTTTACTTCTAGAACGGGATTTTATTTTCCATATCGTCCACGAATTGGTAGTATGTATGGTTTTTTATAGTTTTTTGAACGCAGGTATGCGCGAATTGTTTTATTTCCAGACTTATATTTATTTCCATCTATATTTTCACTCTATTAAACCTAATACGTTTCTCAATTTTTCTTTTGCATTGCGTTGAAAATTTGAAACTGAAACACTTTCTATACTTCTTTTTGCTTGGGTCTGCTCCGCTTTACTAC